AAGCTTTGGGGCTAGGCCGTGAGCGTGCGCCGCTCTGTCTTTGCCCGCCGACCACTCTTCTTGTGCGGCGCCTTCAGCGGGCCGAGCGGCCCCCCCGAGCGCTGCCCTGGGGGGTCGCAGCTGGGGCGCCCTCGGCCGCGACGTGCTGCGTGGCCCTCTCAAAGACCTCGCGGGCCCCGACGTGCTCGCCCAGGAGATCGAGCTCAACGTGGGGATAGGGCCGATGGCAGCCGCCCTGGGGCCCCCATGCGGGACCGCCTCGTGGTTCGTGAACTTGTGCTCGTGGTCCACTTGGGTTCGCCAGCGGCCTTGTGGGCTGCGGCAGCGCCCCGCGGAGATCCTGGGCAACGAGTGCGTGGAGGCCGGGCTGGATGTCGTGAGGGGGCTCTCGACCGCCTGGGCGCCCTGTGGGCTCTTCGGTGGGCGCTTCCGGAGCTCTGGGAGGCCCTCGGCGCGGGGCCGCTGTGCGAGCGCGTCATGGGCTGGCGCGTGTGGGGCAGGCGCTGGCGCGAGACCGCCGCCTGGAAGGGTCGGTGGGCCTTCGCGCCCCTGCTGGCAAGGCGATGCGACCGCCGCCAGCAGCGCCTCGTCATGGAGGCCGGCATCAAGTGCGAGGGCGGCGTCTGGCGGCCTCTGACGGAGGTGGCGGCAAAGTATTCCAGCGAGTGGCGCTCTGCTGTGTCCGAGCAGCTCGACATGTGCTGTGGCTCGCCGCGCTGCTGATGCTCCTCGGGATCTTATGCAGCCGGCTCGGATTCCTAGGGGAAGGCCCGCCCGCGCGCCTGGGTGCAGTCTCGCGGTGCGCGGCTTCGCGGGCCGAGCGCGGCCTCCGAGTGGCAGTCAAGCCGGCCTCTGCTTCTGCCCTCTGGCCTATGCTCGACAAGTTGAGCCTGTGGCTCCAGATTCGATGGCTGCCGCGTCCCGACGACGTCGCGCGTGACCTCGAGCTGCTCAGCGCCGCCCTCGTCGCCTACGCGCAGTGCCTCTACGACGCGAAAGCGCCGTGTCCGTGGGGATCCGAGACCCTGGTTGGCGCCCACTTTCGCTGGCCCTAGGCCCGCGGCTAATTGCGTCCAGCCTGGGCCGTTGTGGCCGGCGCAGTATCGAGCCAGTCAAGGTGCGCGCGCCCATGCCTGTCGAGGTGCCCCCGGCACTGGCCGTCGTTGCCCAGGCGCAGGGGTGGGGCAGAATGTCAGCGTGCCAGCTCCCCACCTTCCGCTCGCTGCTGCGGCTCATCGAGGTCGCGAATGCCCGCGGGCAGCACCTCGTCTTGCCTGGGGACCTGGGGGGGCGACGTCAATGCAGGCGTGCTTGTGCTGCTCTCCGCCAGGACATCAGATCGAGGGCTAACGTTCCAGAGCGTCCTGATCGATGGTCCTTCGCTGCTGAACTTCATGGGGCGCGTTCTTGGCCTCCTCTCGCCGACGACAGCGTTGTGCCCATAACATCTGCTTTGACTGACCCAGCGGTGCAGCTGCCTCGAGGACCTCGACGGCATCAGCGACTCGCCCTGCGCCCTTGGGTCGTTGCGAGGGGGCGGGGCCATGCATCATTTCCGCTCGTTTCAAAATCTGGTGTTGCTACAATGCCGTGGGCGCTGGGAGAATGCTAAGGCCGCCCTGTCCTTCGCTCGCATGTCGTCTGACGGCCGTTAGCGTGCCCAACAGCTCGCTCAACCCGTTCCAGCTGCGTGGGGCGTTGTGTGAATGTGTCACCGACGCACCGGGCGGGCAAGACACATATCAGACATGTGGCACTGACGGTAAGGTTGGAACAGGTCGAGCGCTCTGTGTCTTTGGGGCTCTGTCTTCCTCGCGCACTTCGCACATGGTGTGCTTTGGCAAACGAGCGTCGGGGATCCTGTGGCTTCCCATCCCCCACTCTCGCGAACAGTTTTTGAACAGGTCGAGGGATCTCTGTCTGGGGGCTCTGTGAGGCCGCGCGGCAGAACCAGCGCCGCTGCGCCCCGACGCCCCTGGCCGCGCTTTGACCAGCCTTTTCCTCGCACACTTCGCGCATGGGGTGCTTTGGAAAACGAGCGTCGGACACCAGGATTATGATCATGATGATGACTGTGTTGATGAGCAGGAGAAGGAGGAGGAGGAGGGGGAATGGGGGCGTCTCCAGGGTGAGGAGGGATGCTGCTGCTGCTGCTGCTACTGATGATGATCATGATGAAGACGGTGCTGATAATGATGATGATGATGATGATGATGGTCATGATAATGACGATGACGATGATTCTGGTGACGATGATGATGGTGATGGTGGTGATGGTGGTGGTGCTGATGATGACGGTGATCATGGTTATAATGATGATGATGATGATGCTGATGATGATGATGATGATGATGATGATGATGATGATGATGATGATGAGGATGATGATGATGATGATGATGATGATGATGATGATGATGATGATGATGCCGATGCCGATGATGCTGATGATGGTGATGATGATGATGATGAGGCGCGGACGAAGAGGATGAACAACATGGGGTTGGGGGGTGGGGGAGGAGGAGGAATAAGAAACCAACGCGGGGGAATTGGAGGGGGAGAGGGAGGACGAGGAGGAAACGAAGGGAGGGGAAGGGGAGCAGGAGGGGGAGGAAGAGGAGGAGGAGGAGAAGGAGGAGGAGGAGGAGGAGGAGGAGGAGGAGGCGGAGGAGGACGCGATGGAGGAGGAGGAAGGGGAGAAAAGGGAGGAGGAGGAGAGGAGGAGGAGGAGGAGGAGGAGGAGGAGGAGGAGGAGGAGGAGGAGGAGGGGGAGGAGGAGGAGGGGAGGAGGAGGAGGGAGGAGGAGAGGAGGAGAGGAGGAGGACGGACGAGGAAGAGGCACCAGAGAGGAGGAGGAGGAAGGAGGAGGAGGCCGAGGCGGAGGAGGAGGAGGAGGAGAAGAAAGAGGAGGAGGAGGAGGGGAAGGAGGCTGGGGAGGAGGAGGAGGAGGACGAGGAGGAAAAATAAGAAGACGGATCGTGCGAGTAAGAATGATGATACGGACATTACTGATATATATATACATATAATATATTTGCATATGTAGATATCACGAAAATGTTCACACTAAGAAGAACACGAGCAACAATGATAATGTTAATACATGTGGTAATGCTAGCAGTCACAAAAGTATGAGTAAGAATCATGGTAATATCAGTATTTGTACCAATAATGGTATCAGTAATACATGTACGATTGATGGTACTATTAGTAATAGTTATATTCATACCACTAACAATAAGAATACTACAACTGCTATGAACAATCATGTGACGAAGACGAGGAAGGACAATCTTAGTAATACGAACAGTATTCAAATCAATACTAATACCAGTAGTACTGCTACCAATACTACTACTGCTACTACTACTCCTACTACTCCTACCACTACTACTACTACTACTACTACTACTACTACTACTACTACTACTAGTAATAGTAGTAGTACTAGTACTAGTACTACTACGACTACTACTACTACTACTACTACTACTACGAGTACTACGGCTACTACTGCTACTACTACTACTACTACTACCACCACTACTATGACTACTACCTACTACTACTACTACTACTACTACTACTACTACTACTACTACTACGACTACTACTACTACTACTACTACTACTACTACTGCTACTACTACTACTACTACGAATACTACGGCTACTACTACTACTACTACTGCTACTACAACTACTACTACTACTACTACCGCGATTACTACTACTACTACTACTACTACTACTACTACTACTACTACTACTACTACTTCCACCACTACTACCACTACTACTACTACTACTACTACTACTACTACTACTACTACTACTACTACTACTACTACTACTATTAAACATATTGCGAATACCTCGTACTATTAATCATGACGTGAATAATGTGAGCGGTCTCTTACCTGTGAGCTTTGCAGGCCTCATGCCGACTCCTCCGGTTCGGTTCGATTCGATTCGACGTACTACTCTGATTTTGATTCCGATTTCTCAATGGAGGCCTTACGTACTAGCCAGCCGTTATCCGCCGATTCGACTTCCCCGACTT